CTAGAACATGTTCGATCAGGGATGGGTAGAGCTCGCGTGAAGGCGCCATCGTTTAAAAGTGGATCGATTTGGCAGAAACCCAAATCCGCTGAGAACAAATAAGGAATCTGGAGGAAATTGGCTCCATATCGTTTAAACGCATTTATAAAATTGTATTTTTTTCTGCTGCGCTATACTTGTTTCAGTGCCAACATAGGAACAACTCCATATTCTGTCATAATAGGTTGTCCGATTAAACTTTCAAAATGTTGTTACGCTTAAGAAGGTACGTAATGAACAACTGTAGGTTCAAATATGGATAAGGTAAAAACCTATTCCTGTGCTAGTGGGGTACGTAGTGGGTAACGTATTTTCCTGCTAAACGTGGACACATGTTATGACCTAGCTTGGCGTCCGGGAATAGACACACTGTTTCGTACTGATTTAGCCGTTATTTACCTATAAACTCTGTTAGTCATATGCGACTATATTAGGATTCATTCCCAGACTATCAAGAGATAGCGTATCGTCTGTGAATAGGTAGCGCCTTTATGCCGTCGATTTCCGTGAATGCAGCCTAAGTAAACGCATCTTCATGCCTAAGCTAGTTAAATCGTCGATCGTGTGCCTAGTGGTTGGTTGACAATTACTCTCTAAAGTAATGTCACGCTAAAATACTTCTTCAACACGTAAACGTGCTAGATGTGCTGGTAGCGAGGTGTGCTATTAAGGTACACAACTTTTTGCATCGTACTTCTGATTTGTATATTAACAGCGCTCATCAAAGAACTACCATTAATCAGGCCTCCCGCAATAGATTTAGATGCTTCGCAATAAAGCACCTCTACTAACTTAACTGAAGCACTAGTTGAGCGTGTATCAAACTTTTAGAATCGATTGAAAAAGGCTAGAATATAACCTCAATATGCCGGCCTGTAAGGTGACATCCGGACAGTTTCGGCTAAACGAATTGCTTAGATCGAGCGATGGTTTCCACGGAATATGCCTTTCACATATCTTGTTTTGGATATGACTAGATACCTCGATCACGGAAAATAACAACGATACGGAAGGGACAGTCGTTCGTTTTCGTTACCGTTGTCAAGAGCTCGTCGCATCTTGTGACATGCGACAGATATAATATGCCTATTTGCATGTACGAGCCATAAACGTGCACATACAACGTCGGTCATACTTTGCTTATTATTGCGTTAAATTGGACCGCACGCATCAGATATAAACGAATTTCGTTAATATTGCGATTCGCAATGGTTTAAATAAGACGCTCGTTCAATTCGAAGGAAGACTTATGGGCAGATTAGTAATACTGCAGGAGCGTCATGATACATGTAGCAATCAGCGTGAAGAAACCGAAATAGCTTCAAGCTAAGAACCCCGCAACCTTGAAAAACAACCAGCCCAGGCACCGATGGTAGCATAAACCTTTGAAGCGCTCGGCGGATTCTGCCAAGTTTAGGATCGTCTAACATCTGAAGAAAACGCTGGGGATTTGGATTGGATTTCGATGGACGAAATTTGTAAGATTTCTTGTTGTTTTTTAGTATTATGCAAATGTGCCTCGAATAAAGAAATGTTTGTAATGGCCAATAGTGAAGACGCGACCTGTAGAATAGGCTTCAAAGAGAGCTACGTTTAGCTATGGTCACGTTTGACGGTGAGCCTAAAAAAGGTTTTACTGTTCCAAGCTCTCACCGGCAAAAATCCAGCTGCCGTTGGCAAATTAAAAGGACAAGCAACTCTAAAAGCCTTGATGTATTATTGAATAAAAAAGTGTTTTTTATTCGTAGACCCTAGCGACTATCGGTAGGTAGAATACTGGTGGGGTTTACAAATTGAGCACAGAGCTAGGTCAAACCACTGCTAGCGGATGCGTGACCATGTGTAGATCTCATAGTAAATATAAGTTGATCCGGTAAGTATTAGATAAATGTCTTCCAATGCGCTGCTTTCTTTCCTAGATGTCGTATATATGAAAATCATAGATGAGATACGAAAATCTTGCAAAGTAAGCATATATCGATTACCAAGCATGTTCCTTTCATGAGACACCCTCAATCGGTTTTTTACTTTGACTTTAGTAACCGCACATAATTATTCGTTCTTCATGTTCAACGCATCCCGCCTGTCAACGCCTCTACTTACCTTTCCAAAATAATTAGACCGTGCTCGATACTTACCGTTGCATCTAACTTTCTGCAATGATATCTGCTAGTTACTCGCTGTTTACTGCTCTTCCGTTCTTGAAACCTATGCCTGATATTCAGAAACTGTTTCCTGTAACAACAATTGCATAACAAAATGTCGGCCACGTGGTCAGTGATCTGGAGATGATATCGTTTGAAGATCCTTTAACACTCCAGTCAGGTAGTTTGTACTGAAAGCAGACACCTGGACGAAAGGTTCTTTATCCGTCCCATTTCGTCCGATTGTCAGATCTGTCTGATTGTTCTGACCGTTTAAGAACTGATGCTGTAACAACTGCATATTTACAGAAGTTTTCGCTCTGTTGCACGCAGACTTATGCACACAAAATTATGGAGATGCACAATACATTGGTAAAGATGGTATAAATTAAAACCTATTTCTCGAAACTTAATTTATACTATACTCCGAGTTACGATAAAAATAAAAATTATCACTTCACTAAAAGGTATTTTCAAGGCTTAAAGGCTTCCTTGAGACTAGTCCTTAAGCACATTTAACGATAGCTAAAACTGAAATAACGTACTTGAAAAACAGTAAGGTCTATGTTCTTTGTGTAGAAAAGATGATGAGATACGTCCCGAAAATATTTCCAAGTTAATTTCCCTCCAGCATGAATCCTCTCCAGCGTATGCATCTCCAGTTACAATGAATAGTATGTTTTATCTCTTATAATTAGTTCCTAAGCTACATAGAGTAAAGGTTCTGCGTTGCTTACTAGAACACTGAGTACCCAGGTACGTTCTTTTTTAATCCTAATCTAACACACGAAGGCCCTTCAGGCGAAGTCATACATTTTTGCTAAACATGGACAACATGTCATTAATTTTATACGTCCAATCCTCAACTAAAAAAAAAATAGCGTTCATATTGTGCATATTTTTTTTTTAAAGAATACCAACAATAAGAGCGGACCTCTTCAATATGTAATGCAACAGTTGAAGCACAACGTCTTGCTAAAGGTAGATAAAAACAAACATTGACCTGCTAGACATTAAGTAGTATGTACATGCGAGAAATAACAGTGATTGATCATACCCTTAGAAAATGGCCAAGTAAGTTTCAAAAGTTCAAGTTGACGATCGCGAAACTGTTGTTCCTATCGCGCTCCGATCTCTATTATTTTGTCATAGCTGAGGAAACAGCTCATCGAAGTTCTTGTGTTTCGTGGTTTATACTGCGAGCCAAAGGAATGCGCTTTGATCAAGATTTGCCACAACAAAATGGAATCGGTGGAGCAATCACTCTAATGAAAGAGCTGACCCATAATAGTAAACGTACCCTTGGTGAATAACCCGCTTCACAGGACTTTTCTGGGTCTTATATCATATCGTATACGGATCAAATGAATCACGTTTTAGGACCGACTCTTAGCTGATATAGGATGCAACTTCCGCCCTGATGCATTAGCAACAACGCAGTCGTTACGCCAAGGTCGATTTGCGACGTCAGAGTGGCGACCTGAAATGAAGGAACTTGCATTTACCTTTATTCATTTATTTTACTCTCAGCATTGCCAAGGGCCATGTTATGCGTAGTATAATTCGTTGTTGCAGACAAAGAAACCTTCTTCGTTTGTAATCAGAATTTCTTAAAGCAACAATATCCAATATACGCGAACTTTAGGAAGTTCCAAAGCGAAGCCAAAAAAACGTCATTTCAGCTTCAAAGCCTGGCGTACACCTGTCCCAAATTTCAAATATACTTAATTTACATAGGCGATAACACGTTTCACTGCGATGATAACTTCGATAATTTATACGGGTGTCGGTAGTGAAAATGCGGCTATACTCCGGGTCGTAAGAACTCGTTGGTATCACTGCATTTGTGAGCTGGAGTAAATACCTTTATCCTATTTAATGGATGGACGAACGCGTCTTTGCGTATGTGAACATGCCTCCGTTGAGTGTACGATGATACGCATACGCGCGGGAATGACGGCACTCTGAACCATAATAGTTTGCTTAAAACGTTTGAAATCCGTTGCAGCGATCCAATTTTCGGTGGTCCCGTTCACACCGGAGTGATCGGACGAACAGTTCGAAATAGCCCGCCATACAAACGTCGTGCTATTATAATCGTAACACCCTTTAGAAGGCGTTAGGCTTTTTCGTTGAGTATTTGACATTGGATTATTGTTTCACTTCTTTTTTAATGTCTTTTATCGTTTTGCCATGAGGAAAGCATCTGCGGTGCTTTCAAGCAAAAGGAATATGGAATCTCCGTAGAGTTTTTTTTTTTAACAGGAATCCTTAAAATTTTACCACAGCCTGCAAAACAGCTTGTTGTTGTAGCGAGCGTAGATCAACCATGTCGATCTTGGTAACTAAACATAAATTAATCATAGTTTCTCTGTGGTGCCGCCTTTGTTGCTAACCCGTGTGAAGATTATTGCCGTCAATACAAATCTTGCCTTAAGTTGAAAATATGGTTTTGTTCGGAAAAAAAGTTGATCGTTTCCGTTAATGCTGCATCGCAAATCTTTGGTAATGTTGATCCTTTTATATCACTCCTGTTATCTGGATGGTTAGATTTCTGTTTTGCTCGCCCGACTCAGTCTCCAATAAACGGAATACATACACGTTCACCGCCGCTCACTGGAAGAATTCGAAACGGATGTCCTTGCAGACATTTACTATTCACTAGCTCGGCCTCTCCGTTTGAGCGGTACACATAACAACCTGGGCAAATTTTGCTTTCAAAAGCGTGTTGTTGCCGAAGTTGTATATTATCTAAATGTACAACCTTGCCCCAAGTCCTCTTACACTAGTCAAATTAGAAATCCGCCGACATTTGAAACACACTATATAACATATATTTATTTCACCTATTTTAATTACAACTATTACAATATAAGTTAATCTAGCTGAACTTTAAACTCAGAATCATGTAGCTGAACAGGACTTCTTCCAGATGTTATGGCCTCGTTGTGTTCGGTAACACACGCATTGTTGAATAGGACCGCGCAACGACTGGGGTTATTGTTACTACTGTTGGCATTGTCACAGCTGACACGCATTTCTAGTGAACGGAGTACGCGCAAGGAAGACGCAAAGGCTCTGCATCATTTCATTGATAGAAAAATAACTAAGGAGAAAGAAATTGTTCTTTCTCGTACGTGTCTCAGCGAGAACGCATTATACTTCGATGCATCCTTCACGAGCATGTAGCCAACAAAAGCGTATCAACAAGCGTGTGCTACGCAAAACCGCTACTATACTATACTATACTATATATAATGGTAATTACCACTTAGGATTATGATTATTATCGAGCTCGATTTGGTTTATAATTTGAGTTTGCTTTATGTATATTGCATGTTCTATTTACACGGTTACGTGACTAACTGTTTTTATTTTTGATTTATATATATATATATATATATATAGTACAACTTACGATCAAGCGGCATCATAATGTTCATGGTACACACTTTACTACTGAATCGCATTTAGCATCTAACCTAACATTTGCAGATATATTTTCTTGAAAAAAAAACCAGTAAAACGATTGTAATTTGAAATAATAATGCGGTAATTACAGGTTACCATGGTCAGTCATACGGTACACCTTGTTACTGGCTAACTTTGGGTAGTTCTCTTTAATACACAGCACTGAACTTCGTCCGTTAATACACATCAGTTCCGCGGCGGCTCAAGCGATAATCTATCACATCTTGCTTACTCGGTTACCCTCTTTTAATTTATCTAAGATTAACGTTTTTTCATTTACGTCCCGTACGAGCACAGTTAAGCACTGCTTCGGACGCCGGGCTCCAACCAACACTAACTCATTCCATTTGTGGGTGGGTGATCGATTGATTGATGAGTCAGCCTTCGATGCATAGTATACGTTCACAAAACGTTTAAATGAACCCTTTAACCGTTTAAATGAACGTTTAAATGAAGTTTTTCGGCCGAAAAAAGGACAAAGGCTTCGAGGTATACCGATCACTACAGCGCTTAATTTGGCGTCTAAAGTTCCTGATTTAACATACAGGATCCGATCTAGGTGAACTGTCTTTTCTTCTAGATTAGCAGATATCTAAGATACGGCACTATAACTTCGTATAACAAACAATCACAGCTGTGTTCAGAAAGGGGATTGAGTACATCCTGGGGACACTACTATAGAATCATTGTAGAATGCTACACAAAGAACATTGCAGCATAGCTCTAGTACATGTTAGAAAAATAAGGGGAAAATATAACCTAAGCATATTACGATAATTAGACGCCCACTGGATCTGAAGTTCAAGGGACTGAAAAATAATGACGGCTTTATTTCAACGCTCACCAACCCTTCTGGACTTCGAACAGAAGCTTTTGTCGCTCGAATTCCAACAAAGATTACGTTGCGTCATGTGAATTTAGCACACGAAACTTAGAGCATTATCGACGTTGCAGCTGTGAGCAGGCTTCACTCAGTTCGTTCCATAACGCAGACCGTTACCACCTGAAAAGAGCTCATATTAGCCTTCTAGCAGACCCTTACACCTCTCGATAATTATACGTACATTTCTATTTATCTTACAAAATGGTAGGAAGTTGAGACAGAAGATTGTAGATAGTCTTCAAAATGTTTTGGCCACCCGATCCTGAGGCTGAAGAGCTGACGACATGACCTGCACAATGTCGTTTGACCTGCAATAACAATAGCGACAATAAAAAGAAAAGTCGCTAAATATCATTTGAATTTCCATGATGTTATACGATAAATTGTACAACGTAGAAGCAACGGTCTTAAACGGTCTAATATGCGTTACTCTGCGGATTTAATCTTCTACCAAAATACGGTACCTTTCTCTCCACGCAGTCCTAATTCGATGACTCTCAAGGGCAATATCTGAGATAAGTGTATGTATATGTTCGCTTACTAATGACTTCAGTTTAGATAGATTGTCCTCAGAAATATCTGGTACGATCCTTTTTTTCTTTGAAAAGGAAAAAGTGTCAAAATCGCTCTCTTGTAGATTGATAGTTGAGTTTTTATAGGTCGGTGTGTTATTCAGCCGAGTGGCCAGAAAAGTATTACCGCAGTGATAGAGAAGCGGCAGTAAATCAGCCAAGCATTCAATGAAAACTGAATAGTTCAAGAACTTCGCTCAACGAGGAACGTTCAGCCCGATAAAACGTCGCCCCAGCTACGAGTTATAAATGCAAAATGGTAAACCAATGGATACTCGACGGGACAATTGTTATTGTTATTAATGTTTTATATGGGTGATATTTAATGCTGTTGCATTGTAGTGGAGGTCTTTCCGAAAAATTCAACCCCATCGTTCTGCACAACGGTTCTGAATTTATGATTTTCATTAATATTTGTCCGAAACCTGAAAAAAACGTTCTACCAAGGTTAGCCCTTACGCGAAGCCCATGCTATTGGACATTATTTACAAACAAAATTCGGTTTTCGGCAGGCTCGAGCCAAAAGCTGACCTTCACAAACGATATCTATAAAAATACTGGAAAACATATCCAGAGACGAATTAAGATTTAAATAATATTTGCTGTCGGCCTTAGCATTTTCACGGTTTACACTCGAAGCCATAATAAACTGAGACTCTTTGATCAGGAAAATGCTAGTCACCAAAATAAATCACAATTATTTTCTATATGCATCCGCATGCAGATCAGATTCGTTTGAAGAATGACTTCACACACTTCTCGATACGTTGTATACGTTTTGAAAGCCATAGCAGTAATTGGGTCCTATAATCGAAGAAGGACTCTGTCAAAAGCCCACATTTATTTTATGTTTCAGTCAAAACTAACGACGCAAATTGGCTCAGCGAAAGGTCCACTGTAAAATAAACATCTGATCCATGTTATATACTAAGAAAATATGTTTATGTTCATACGTACCTTAGCGCAGCTATCCTGCATTCCTCCGTTGAGCTTGTTGAGCGACTGTAGAGAGACTTCTAAAGCTTTAGCTCCGCATGCTACCTCGGTATTTGCCATATAACACGCGTGTAGTGCATGATATTCACTTGATCAATCAAAGAGAAGGGCCAAAATCAGTCAAAACGGTCATAGAGAAATAGATCCAGAGTTGTCATGCTCGTGTTGATTTCCCCATTTGTATGGCTGCACGCCATACAAAAGTCGAAGTTGACACCAACTGCTATTACTACAGTTAAAAGTCGACATTTTCCAGTAATTAGCCTTACTGGACATACATAGCCGGTTATTACTTGTAAATTAACAAATATGATCCTCATTTTCGTTCAGCCCAATGTCGATTCAGTTGTGTATAGTATCAATTAAGAATAACTATGTATAGCCGGAAATTCATCCTTGTAAGTTTGCCTTGGACCCACAGAGTCAAGTTATGATCGTCGGCTGATACCTACCTAAAGAAATCCTCCTTTTCATTGCACGTTGTGGTGCACTTATCTATAATACTAACCAACACATGTCAGCGATAATCTGATTAGTAATCAGGTAGTGTTTTTGTCCGACGTTGGCAGGTCCCTGACGTTTAGCAGAATTCTTGCCGTCACTGTACGGCGCCGTTGACTCATCCTGTTGTTGGCGATGTCCAGATGGGGGGTCCAGGGCGACTGTGACAGCTTTTAACCGAGCGTACGGGTCGTGACAGGCTCCACCTTCGAGAAGCATCGCTTTGAAGCACGGCGCATGTTGCAGATACTCTAAATTTCCAGAAGATAAAGAACAGAACGCAAACGAGGGTTGAGAAGATGCTGGGTAATACGTGGCTATGTTAGAGTAGTGCCAAACGAATTGGATAGTTCGGCACAAAATTGATCCAATTCGTTGTCTAAACCAGACTAGATTTTAAACTTATTAATTCCTCTAACAAAAATTACTTCTCATTGTAGGACTTACGACGCGGCAGGCTGTTGTAGTCATCAGAGATATGGATGTACAGATCCTCTATGGCAGACACAGCCGAAACCAACGAGGCACACATGAAAGTAGATTCTATAATACAGAAATACTGCTTTCTTTTTTTAGCAATCGTTTGGCTTTCGCCTCTGAACCATCAAATGATCAGCACCAGGTTTATTTTTCATGTTAAGGTAGCTAGCAACCTTCTTATGGGGATTTGCGAAGCGCTTTCAGCGGCACCTTACATCTGCTATGCTGCTTAGTTTCAAACTGCCTTTTTCTATCTTCTATACTTTGCATAGTAAGAACCAAAGATTGGATCGAATCGAGAAACCAAACGAGAGCGCTGAATCGTTCTGACACCTTTCGGATGGTTGGCGGTAGATCCGACGCCACTTCAGAGGCAGCGACCTCTCACAAGGTTCCCAGGGTAATAAATTACAGCTGGTTGTTTATCTGCTTGTCTTTTTGCTTGTAGGTTGCGAATAACAGACAACCTATGACATCAAATGACAACGACGTCGAAAATGGGTTGTTACCAACACAGCTGATCCCTATTAAAATGTGTTACAGATTCACAGATTTATATAAAATTTCAACGGAAGGTCATACGCCGGTTTCGTGTAACACGACAGCTATTAAGCACACACTGAGTAACCTCTTGCCAGTTTTTCTTTTTTTGACTCAGCAGTTTTACTAACATCATTAACGAAACGGAAAAAAAAAATGCCTGTGATACAAAGGTCTCTCCAAGGTACATACAAAGTTCGACGAACGCTCTAGTCGCCGATACGCATCGTTAGTGAGAGATTCTAGCAAAAACTGATCGGTTCCCGCTATGATTAAGGAGCTGCAAGAGAAACTCTGTCAATTGCACCTGCTCGATCAGTGTCATCGTTTTCAATGTCGGAGTTACCTATCGAACGTCTGCGCCCAACGTCCAACATTAAAAAAAAAAAAGCTAGCCGAGTGCCCGGCATGCAGCGACCCACTCGCGGTGCAGTTGTTTAATACACCTACGGCAATAGCATTTAAAAACTACGAAAGCCCGATCCACAAGTTGTCTGCGGTGGGCATGACAAGCTGTTTAGATAAACGTAGCACATTAAAATTGTATGTATTAGTAAGTGACTTGAAAACAATCATTCTCAGCGCAGGAACTCCGCCTAGTAAGAAAATCAATAGTATATCGGTATCAGCATGAATCGTGCATGGCAGACTGGATGCATCGGTGGGAAGAAATAGAAAACTCGTAAAAATACACTGGTGACTACAAGAATGGTGCAAAGCGAAACCGAACGATGAATGGAGCATATGGCTATTGGCAGTTCGTAGCTCAACAAGGGGTAAAAAAATCTTCGGAAGAAAAGGCCTCGTTCTCGATATCGATCGGAGCAATACACCGATGCATAAACGTCAGCCAGAATTGTTATAATTTTAGAAAAAAAAAAAAAATGCACGTCAGTTCCTATTGGCAGGAGGTAGATTTGCCGCGAGCACAGGAACGAGCGTATTCGTTCACAGCGTATGTAAAAGAAAAACAGATAAATTTATCTAGTCAAGCAGTCAACGATAGAATAAATGTTTTATATTATTTTGTCGATGGTACAGTCATCGTGGCTCTGGGAATCATTTAAATGACGTAGGAATTACACGACGCCACCTCGATGTGTATATCTATTATGCTATCATAGAGCCCGTGAAAGTTGCTAACATCTGGATTATGACAAACTTTTTGGCGTTGCTGTCACGTAAGAATTTTATATTCAACCAGGATTAGTGAGGATACCTTTATGGTTCAGTGTCCATTATACACACTGCAAGAAACTGGTGCGTATGGCCACATACTGCGGCAGACCGTCAACCCTAAAACAGAAGGCGATCAGAGCTGATTTAAATATCTTGTACAGTTGGTTCGAAGCTGGTTTGGTAAACCGGCCTAATTCTTGGCAAGCATATGTTTTCTGCTTCGTGGAGTCCAGACTTTTGAAAGTGGTAAAGAGTTTACTGCTCAGCGAAGACGAATGTCTTACTGGTAGAGATTTTCGGCTAGCAAATGCTTATAAATAAATAACTCGAACTTCCAAGAATCGAGATGCTTCTATGTTTACTAGCAAAGTTAGACTAAAAATTAGAAATTCTTTGAATGTCTACCATATTACGATGCACGACCTACATATATCCTTTACATATAACACACAAATAATACTTCAATTGTTTCTCGTTCGGTTCCCTCTCGTCTGACGTCGGCGTTGACTGATTGACTCAGCTTGGTAGACTTAACCTGCAACGTCTTCATCGGAACGGACTTCATGCGTTAACCTCGACTTTCGAGGTCGTACATTGTATAATTGGCCAGTCATAGGCCAACATTAAGCATGAAGACGAGGTTCACACGAACCCATATGTACCGTAAGTTCGAGTACGTACGATAGAGATAAATGGAAAGGCTTCGTCACATTTGGCCACACAAAGTAAATAAGGTGAACGAATTAGATATCGTTTGCTTTTCATGTTCTATAGAATCGTTTGGAGGAAGCCGCATACGACGTCTGCGAATACCGCTAAGGGTACCGTTGGAATATACCGTTTAGACGATTTACAAGTATACATGGTTCGGTTAGATCGTTGACCCAGCGAAGTCCAAATGAAAGCAGGTGCTTTAATAAGAGGTACTCTACTTTATTCCAGATTAATACAAGATGGATTTTCTTTTAGCTTGAAGAATCAAAAATTAGTAATTGTCCGATTAGACGATAGCCTAATCAATGTTATACTTTATAGTATAAAAGATTCATTCGTTCTTTGTACTATTTGTACTATTCGTATCTTTGTACTATAACCTTTTGGATAATGGTATCGCTGCAGGAACGCAAACGAATGAATAGTTGTGACGCAATTAACGACGGCTCAGTTAGCGTACAATCTTAGTTAACGTTCGTCGTATAATGCGGGGAAAGTAGTTAAACGGAAAGAAGGCCTAGCTTTTCAATATAAATCGAAATCCCTTTGGACAAAGCTTTGTCAGCTGACCTTACCATTGAGGCCTGTTGTCGAGATTTACGCTGAAAATACAGTGTACGAGGTGACCACGCCGTCCGAAATGTCTTATTTTCTTTTAATAGATGCTCACTTTTAAATAAAATACAATTAATTTTTCGTAATACAGTTGAAGAAACGCGACAACTAGGTAGCACAATTTATAATTTTAAGGTTACCACAAGAAAACTTCCGTCGTTTTTATGGCATCCTATGTATGCGCCTTCATAGGCTTGACCTGCTTGGCAGAAATTTCTTGATCTTAAACAGCATACTCCGTTTTAAAAGTTGTTACCGCCCCGAGCGGTTGTTGGACTCAGAAAACTAATACTGTTTCCCTTCCAGGGCAGAGCTAAAGTTGCCCTTTACCGTTAAAATTGTTTCTCCATACCTTTGCATATGTTTGATAGATCCCTGTCGTTGGCAAAAACAACTTGTGCCGACTCCATTGTCAAGGCGTTCGCGGATATTAAGGACAAATAGTATTAGAAGCAAATAAACTTTCTAGCCAAAAAGGGCGAAAGCACAAATACATTCAAACTTTATGGTTTCCTTTTAGATTGCTTTCGGAGGCTTAACACCAGTTGTCGTCGCAATGCACTAGATCATCATAAATCAATGACTGTGGCGCCAAATGAATCGATTGTGTCAACCAATTTCTTCACTCAAGGAGGATATTCATAATACGATAGAGACGTGAAAACAAACGAAATAGTAGGCGTCCAAGCATAAAAAAAAATTGACAGAATCGTACACCTTACCCCTTAGAAACCCTCGACAAACGACAACGCCGTTAGCCTGTACTGTACTATACACGAAGAAGGGCCACCTTTGTCTTGTACTGGGTAAGTGCTTACCAAAAAAATGCTACCTAATAACAATTGGTCAGAACGCGCTAACTATAAGATTGATTGTTCCGCCTTTTTTAGTTCCAATGTTTAAAGGGACACGTTTTGGCGTGTACACTATAGTAATGCACTCGCGATGATTGGATCGATTAACTTAATTTAAACTTATCGTTATTTATGATTTATATAGAACACATAATGTTCTATGTGCAACCAGTTATGCAGCTGTAACTGATTCAATTGGACGTAGCTACCATAATTAGAATGCTTTCCGGATGATCTGCGCAAGAGTCACTTTTTCTAATAAGTTGACATACTAATTGTATCTAACTTACCTGTCGGATAAAGGTAAAATACTGGAGATGACTAGAGCATTTTTTTGGTAACATTACCGCGTAACGTAATCCGTATTTTAGCTGCATCGTGCACGCGGCATTGATTTATCTGACAGTGATAGGTTGGTTGGTTGGTTGGCTTCTAACGATCAATGCCTTCAGAATGATGGCTACCGACAAAAATGGCTATTCTGTAGGAGAAAAAATAGTTATTTTCGTATTGCGTAGGAGAATTGGACAGCATTGGTATGGGAGTGGTCAGATGAGAAAGACGGCCCGCTCAACAGATAATTAATCGTCAGCTATAGGATCTCATTGTAAAATAACGTTTAGAGTCGCCGAAGTACACTACGAGCTTCATGAGATCATTGCAAAGAAAATCGTTGTCATTTTACGTGGATTGTTTATTCAGCCACACGTTCGATATAGCTGAAGCCAAAGCTCAATTTAGACCCGCTAAAACAACTATTGCGCTATCTTAAATCATTGAGCAGGATAATTTGCACTGTGAAAAGGAGATAAAACTTGAATAACTCGGTGTTATGAAATTACTGATTTTTCTATTTGGCATTACAATTGCGTTGTGTGCTCCTGTACGCTCGAGAGTTGATCGCATAAAATATTCTACCCTTTAAAACTATGATTTAGTTTCTGTTCTTTTCCTCGAAACGATTAGCCGAACAGAATTCTGACCATCTAGTACAAACAGCTAAGATACAAATGTCTGACCACACTTTGGACAATTCACACAACATAGCATCTACTAAAATGTCTGCTTACCATCTTGCGCCTCCCCTGGAGTGCAAACTTCTTCTATAACAGTAGTTTCAGCCTTTATGGCCTTGCGGTAATTATCTTGTACCTGTTGCGAGCACTTGCTGATCTCCTCTTCGATGCAACTGAAACACAGGCCAGATACGTGCAAGGGCATGAGTTACAAACTTTTACCGCCAAACTTAACTACGAGATCATTACTTCTGTGCACTCAGCCAGATGAAATGTCCGCTATGAAAAGGCGTCTCTTACGAGCTCATTATATTACTGAACTGTACCAATACATAAATGACACTGAAACACGAATAAAGTAGTCCACTTCAACGTTTTGCGATGGTTTTTCTCTTTTCAGTCTTCGTTAAATAATACATGCGTTCAACTAATAAAATAGCTTATCTGATATGATCAGACAGAAGAAACCCCGAAAGGGGTTGACACCGTCTGCAGGTAGGTAAGACATCCTACACGAGCGAACACTGCTCTTACCGTTCCAGTCATTTGAATTTACAATTCTGGCTTAATCGACTGTCGACCTGCTCCTTCGTGGGTTTATTATACTGCTTAATAGGTAGTTTTAATATACAGATGTGACTATGTGGATAAAAGTTTTTGACACATAATATATATATATATATAAAATGTTGCCGTTTTAGCTAAGGCTCAGGACTGCTGGCGTCGCAAAGTCTTGCAGGACCGCTGATGATGACAGAATCGTTGTACCATCGTTGCTAGCTATGAATTAAAGCGTACTGAGTAGCGTAACTATTCTGTGGAGTAATATAACGAGCGTCCTAGACAATCACTAAAGGCTATCTCATCGCCTATGGCTGCTTAAACACCGTCCTTATAATGTGATACATCGTTAATGATTCAATATTATGCAAATAAAATTAGGCCACTCAGGATTCTTGCCGACCTTGTCCAGCTTTATTAAAGGCCCAGGGTTTAGGATTAGATTTCCTAACGTTCTCACGGAATTTATTGCAGTTTCATTAATTAATCTCGTGGCAAACTGTAAGATACCATTAAAACTCCGAGGAAGGGCTTACGCATCTTTGACTAAGACTATATTTTATCTATATAATGTATATGCACAAAGTTGCTCAGATAATTATGATAAACCATATCGCATAGAATACAATAGTAGATGTAAACGTTTAGCTGATTTATGAAGAGCCTATTTCGGTGGGTTCACTGTGTTAGTCCTTCAAACTTGTATTAAATGCACACCTTCTAGGTTAGACAAACTATCATCCCATAAAGATTTAGCACTGTCTCGCACGGAAGAGGCCTGTAGACTACGACAAGCAGGTATAACAAATAGAAGACGTTCTGACGTCGTGTAGTATGCTATTCTTCGATACTCCTTTAACAGTAGCTATATTCATCTTCTATGAGTTTGGATAATGGTTCCTTTATGGGGCAGCGATTGGCGACAAGTGCTTTTTGTTTTTTTTTGTTTAAAAAAGGCCATAAATGAAGAGAAAAAACAAGAAATAGCGCTCACGCTGTACATTACACATGAGGTGTAATTGATATTGATGCCATCGTATCTCGAAACCTACTCTACTATCCACATAGTTTTCCTAGCGACTGAAACCGAGAGCACTTTTATTTCTAGGCCGTTACCTACGAAATTTGATAGGGTTGACCTGCGACATCGTTTGTCAAAAAACGTCGTTTACTCCGCTTCACGGTTCCGTATCCATCTTCGAAGTAAGAAAACTTGTTCCGCCTACCGATTTTCATTTGAATAGTACTCAACTTTCTCTCTAGACAATCTATGGGCCCCTGAGCTTTTGACAGAGCTTCGTTTCAACATGGAAAATCCATGACGGCCAACTATATATATATATAAACTGGTGTCGGTTGTAAGAAAAGCAAAACGTTTCCACCACATACAGATGCATAGATAAAAAAAAAAAAGCTAAAACCCTACCTTGTGACTGTAATAGTGACTTGACGGCAATTTAAACCTTTATCGCCTTTATTTGTCGGGTCATCTTATTATGAATCGGAAACGTGCAAAAAAGTCACGTGCACACTGTTTGTTTGAAATGAAACTACGCTTCTTTATAATTATAGTTGTCGTTTTCGTCCAGTTTTTTAGAGTAGCCTTCGAGTAATCACTGTATGCGCATATATAATAACGCGCCACGAAATTAAACGTAGCCACAAGTTTCTTCTAATAGATATAAGGAAAATATTTTTTTGCAACGCTATAATAGTTGTCCCTGTCAGGACAAATAGAGTTTTAATTTGCCGCGACATAAGACCATCATGGTACGATGGAGCATTGAGAAGTTGTGACTGCTATCCTAACTGGACAAACAGAGGGCCGCAATTGAACGCATGTTTCGATTCCTGACGAAGAATCGGAGACTTCAGAATAGCTTCCGTTTTATCAGGTCGCCAAGTTGATCTGGATTGGCATTAATATCATGAAGTCTGTTGCCTGTGCTATTTGAAATCGCTACATATCATTCCACGAGCGATCCAGGTTGTGCTGAAAGGTTTGCCAACAAAAACTATTTCTACATACATTTAGGTTATAAAACTAGGATATCCTCGTTTTGATGCTTAACGATCGATATGCCTGTCTATGTGATGCTTGTGTTTGCTTTTCGATATGACTATTGGCCGAAATTTCAAGATCGAGCTCAAGGATTGAACACGCGACTCCCAGTTGATTGTTAATTCAGTTTCATTCATAGAGAACCTGCACGTTTCATCTAGTCTTCTACGCCAAAGTACATACTGAGGGTACTTATCGCTAGTCTTTGTTCAAGCGTCGCAAGTATAAAAGTTTAAAAAAGTTGACATAAAACTGTCATCTGTTGGTATAGTTTAAGAAAAGCTGCTAGGTATCTGTCTTTTTTTTATCGTTGTTTTATACTGATCTGTCGCGTGTGTATACGCGTGTGTACGACAAAGCTATTTTTGTTGTTATTGTTGATGTCGCTACAGTCGTTCACGCGGTAGTGGCTTAACCGAATTTCGAAAAATAGGTACTGGTTTCCAGATAAGTCTTCGTGAAACCTGAGTGATATCCCGGGAACTGCCTGTTTGTCCTAAATCCTAGAAGTTAATGAAGCGCTCGTTCCAGACAAAGTGCGAAATAAATATTACTGGCTGCCACGTTATTAAACATATATACGGTACACGTAGCCGTATAGTTTATTCTTAGCGTAAACACTCATTGAATAAGAGATGAGACATGCAAGTGATTCATGACATAATGCGTTGAGATGGCTTCATATTTCTATGCGGGCGTACGTATATTCGGTCTGCCGCCTTACCGACCTAAATCCATACGGTAGTAAGGCTAAGTAAGGTAAACAGTACAAGGTCAGCTCTATCACTGTTACAATAACAATGTGTGTCCAACTCTTTCTTCGATACGTTCCCCGATTACTTACGCCACATGAACCTAAAAAAACGGCATAAATAAACGGTAAAATATACGACACGAGCCCACGAAGCAAATGGTTTGAAGAGAAGTCTCTTTTTTCCCTAGAGTGCAACACAAACACGTCAAGAACGAACTCTGTTAACATTGACATTATCAATAAGATCGTAGGATCCATATAAAACACTTGTGGGTTCTTCAGGGCGCTGCGTAGAGCTATTGTCTACCTTGAGCGCAGAAAGCATTAACTGGTGGAAGTCGGCGTTTTGGATACGCGCTTCAGCTGGGATGACCCAGCTATAAAGCGACAAAGGCTTTAGGGCATTATACCTGATAGGGCTGATGCAATAATAGCGTGGAATCGTATCGATATACGAGCTGACGGACTGCATCATTCCATTCCTACCATTTCGTTCCCAATCACCAACGAAGAAACAGCGAACTATCTCAAAAACGAGCTTTCGAATATTCGACTGCCGTAGCGTTCGTTCACATCGACGGCTCGTAGCGAAGAAACATCACACCACATTTAATCTAACGCAGTAATCATAGAAAACTCCTATGCGTTTCTATTACTTGCTTAGACTGTCTGACTCGTTCGAATCATATAACATCCATCTTCAGCGCAGCTGTATATTAATTCCATTAACAGTAACTATTTCGTTATAATATGATGGGTCTATACCTGTTTCTGTAAGGCTTACCTGTGCGCTGTAGCCATGCGGCTGCAATAGAGCCGAAGATCCTGCAGAGTAGATGCGAGACTCAACCGGTCACTGCCCAGTTCCTTCTGAACGGGCTCTGTGCAACGGGCAATTTGCTGGTAGGAACAGCCTGCAGCAAAGCAGCGAAGGACATGCCAAAATGGGACAAACAAAATGACACATCGTTAGTAACTCTGAGAGTTCCATCATCTTCAGTACGAAACAGTCCGGCCAATTTTGGATAGAAAACGGACTAATCGTGGTTGTCGTTAAACTAAACTGAAGGCAATTTTATTACGAAAAAAGAAACTGTGTGGCACGCAAAATCACGATGGCGTGCCATATATTTAACAATGAAGGCAGGCGCAGCACGTTCATGAAGCGAGCTGTACATTCTCTATGAACAGTTAGTGGTCCTAGGGACTGTGGTACATTTTTTACGGAGGATATTGGTGATTTTGAACTCAAAATGGTAATCCGCTGGGTCTGCTTTATGCGGCTAGGAATGGGTTTAAATATTTCGTTTCTGGTCACAGTGACACAGAAGGCAGAGCAAGTTTGTAGCACCCCAATAAACATCTTCAGTATGATCATTATTATTCGCGAGTCATAAACGTGACATTGATCCATGTCCTATACGTTCAAAGGTAAGTAACGGGGGCCTGTGCATCCAGAGATCCGCTTCAAGAAGATGTCAGTTGAAAATATAGAGAACAGATGTGTCTCACAAAATTAAGGCGCCGCTAGCACTGAATTACGGAGAACTTACCGTAGAAAAAAGACCACAGTTCCGCAATCATGTTCTCAAATAACATTAATCATCTATAAATATACATATATTTTACATAATTCTGCCATATTTAGCATCCACAGGTAATGTTTCGTGAATAATTTGTATCAATCTTCTTTTCAAAGGTTCTCCTCGATAATTACATCAATCAAAACAAGCACTTTTTGATGCGGGTGGAAATTAGTGAACTATGTAGAAACTGACAGAGCTGAGGTGTCATGGATCGTATTAATAGTCCCGTCGTTGAAGTTACTTTGACAACCTGGCCTGGGCTCAACAAATGGCCCTGCTAGCGGGTGCGCTCATTGTTTTTGATGCTTTACTCAATCTTTGATCGACCAACGGTTAAAGTGGTCAATGATCGGTGACTGCTGTCGGAATCCGATTGCACCGTACTCAACATCGTGTCACCTATACTTTCATTAAAATTGCGTCTAAATCGAAAGTTTAACATAGATAAATGTTATTTTTGTCGGTTTTAGCTATAACCAGCCCTCTAAATGCACCTCGTCGTAATTTGATGAAATAAAAAGCTTTTAGTGCCAGCAGAACACACAGTATCTCTGCGGTACTATCTAATAGGACAGCATCAGTCGTACTTGTCATCTCGTAATTCGACTGTACCTTTTTCCAACTTTCCGTAAATAGGAAGCAATTTTTCTAAATATCTATTTTACGCATCTCGTAAGCTAATTCACATTGCTAACTGCCAAATCGATTAGTTACAGACCACGATAAAAATATGATAGAGACAATACAAGCTAAGTAAGCTTAACCGGAAGAAAGGATCGACGTGTGATACCCGCGCGAAAACATAAAGTTCTAATTAGAATCCTTTACACTAACCCCTTTGTCTAGCGATAGCAAAGTAGGGATAGGGCGAGGAATCTATAATTGCTAGCATTGGATTAAGAAAAGTTCGTCAGAATGTAGAGCAATGAAGGCGTTGATTTTAGTGTCCAGAGATTAGCCTAATGTTTCATCATGGGTAACCTAATGGGTCAGGTTTTCGTTAGGCATTGTGTGCCACACTAGGTAGAACTGGCGAGATTCATTAAAATCCATTTGAAAGTGCCGATCTATGTTTGACTCGACTTTTTAATGGTTCCGAGAGCATCGTAAAGGAATAACTTAGTAGGTAAGTAAGTTCTCGACGGTAAGTTGTTGTATAGTAAGCTAGCTAATTGAAAAATAGACGAATATACAGGGCAGGGCACAAGAAAAGATGGATGTGAAATTAAAAGTTAGCACGTACGATCAAACAAATCGATCTGATATGTTAACGTGATACAATTGACTCCCCGCCGTTGGACGGCTACGCTAGAAAAATAACGGAACTTAATACAGTCATAAGAAAAATTTGTTGCCAATCGGCTTTTAACTTAATCGAACCGTCTATCGATCATCCCAAACTCGTGTCTATAATAACATATATACTTGTTGTAAATGAACGATGCATTTCGAGCCGGAGTACATGTATAGGGTTGATCACCTGGTCATGTTTAGCGTCACATTAAACGATTTTTTTTTTTTAATCGTACTTAATATATTTGTTATTATACGAAAAAACTTTGGGCAGCAGATACTGGACCTCGATTCGGTAATTTTGCAAGCAAGTTTGATAGAAGAGAATATATATTGATGAACTAGGTAATAATCAAGCCTGAGAACGTTTCATGTATTATGTAATCACGTGACGGAAATATAGAGGCGTTGGGTTTGAGAAGGTCGGGCTTTTTTTCCGGAGATCTAAGCTTTACTAGTCTTTGGGATTAATTTATTTTCGAAGTGCAGCCATATATACATTTCCTTTGTCCCCACAAAGTACATACGTCTAGGTGCGCTGTTTTTCGTATGGCTAAGTAGATGATTATCTCGCGTCGGCCAAATTATTCGATAGGTAATGCTAGTTACGTACGCGTTAGCTTGGAATCAGGACTTGACGCACAGATGCGAATTGAAATTCACTAACAATGTTATTGCCCTACTATGAATTGTGCTTGAATCAACGTTAGGCCATATTGTGTACATGTCGTTTTACACATGAAACTTTATCATACTGAATGAGGCAAAGGTGCTCTGGCTGTTTGAATGGAGAGTTACTGGACAGAAGGTAAGGTAGTAAAAGGGTAAAATAAAGTAGATTAAGAAATTCTTAAACACAAACTCAGGTATATTTCCTATGGAACTTGTTTCAGATACTTTAAAAGGTAAGTGCAACAAAGTAGTCCACTTCTCTGACGTTTATCGACCTCTTCTGAAAGACGTGTTAAACTATATTGACAAGTCTTCTATACTCAGAGAACAATATAAGATACCTTATATTCGCTTGGCTTTCAAAGCAATTATACCTATTCAGTTAGGACTTACTTTGGATTGACTGAGCCATAGGTTACTGGAACAAAAGCAAATCGCTTAAGTTGTTCGAAAATCTCAATTTGGATAGACTAGAATAAAGCAAGTATATTAGAAAGGGAACGATGGAAAAAACCTTATTTTGCCATCTGAACTGGCCCCGACTGGAAAATTTTTCGTCGCGTATTTAGCAGGTTTAAAAACCAGTGGACCAATAGCCGTTAGGCACATATCTATGGCTTCAACGTAGTATTTTTCCAGGGACACAGCAACTTCAAAATCATTGGCCTGTTTACTTCAGCCAAGCCCTTAGCCTCTGATACATCATAGGCCATGAGTAAACGAGTTTAGTTTCCCTATTAATGATATATGAAAAGTGCAAACACACTGTATAGAATCAATGTTACCACGTAATTGTTATCTGAGTATTTACTCCCGGTTTTTCCGTGAAGCCGATGTTTATCACTGTACCTGCAAGCCGCATTAGTGAGCCGCTCAGGCCACACTAGGCGCCGCTTAATGTACGTAGTAAACCAAACCTGATCTTCGTTGTATACAATAGTATCTGTGTAAGTGTTATTCCGGTGAAACAAACATAACTTTTCCGGTCGCTATCTTAATCACTATATTAATATCACGTCTACTCTCACTCATACGTATCCGGATTCACACGTTTTTGATCTAGAAGACATCGTCGGCGGGGTTTGTCAGCATGTGAACGACCGAGGCGAGACGCTCTCTATATCATACTGGCACGTGTCTTGAAGTTTTCCCCGGTCTTTTGCCTTCAATTACACAGTCGGAGTAGTTTTGGAAAGTGGCACATGTGCTACCGTCGTGTTTTGCGTCTCCGCATGGCCTTTTATTCGATTCTGTGGACTCGCATCATTTCCTCTTTCCAGCGTGGCTTTAACACGACCTCAGTATATTTCCGACCCGTCTAACGAAAACAGACATAAGGCAAACTATGAACGCGGTAACAGTTAACACAAATCGGCTCAGAAATACGTACGTGAATTAGACACATAGATACTTTCCTCGTGTTACTTTCATGATAAGCAGAAGACGTTATTGCTGTTCATATAATTGTTTTTGTTTCGATGTCCGGTGCTCTGCCAGTTGTCTCTCAGGAATCATATTTTAACTATTGTTAAATCCCAATCACAATGCCTTCAAATCTGTCTAGCAATGGGACAAATGCTCTCGAGAGAACATTTGTACTAAAGCAGACGTTTTTCATTGAATAAACGGTTTATCACGCAGCCATAACCAATAACAACTCTAATTGATAGCTGATCGTGCGTGAAGGGTGCGTTTTGTATATGTATATGGCTTCGTGCTATTTCGCTGTACGGCTATTACGTATTCGAATTTATTTTGCCCGCTTCAATCGTTTCGAGAGATTTGAAGACATGTTTTAATGGCTAAACGTAACGAATGCATGGCCTGCATTCGCCCTTCTTAAAGGCTTTTCGTAACACGTAGTTGGATGTACGTAGACAAGCACAACCAAACCCGACCAGCAGACACTGTTTGTCACTATAGGCGTCTATGTCTTTGTCTTTGTAAATAAACTGCAAAAATATAATAATTGAAAGGCTACATAAATTAACTAGTTTAAATATCTTATGCATGTGTAGTATATTACATCGCAAATTGTCACTATATCATAGGCGAAATAACCCTCCAGGATTGTTTGCTCAGCAGTACTGTACCAGGGGACTTCACCATCTCGTACATCGCCCGTCAGTCAAAGAAATTCATCCATCCAATTCACTCTCCTTAGTACATTCGCTCCCTTAGAGCAAGGGCCAAGTGAAATTTAATAACAAGTTGGATGTTTTAGGTTACACTCCTTTTCGGCCATGGCCGTAGCGCCATTCATCAACTTACATGGATGAGGTCTAAAAGGTCAGATGTTTATCGGATTAAGTCTACTACAGGCCGCTAATTCGCGTTATGAGGGAATGTCGTCATCGAGTATA